CCCGAGAGGACCTGCTTTAGGGGCAGAGGGTGCTCCCAGCTCAGCCGGTAAGTGAGGGCATGAAGTGTATGTAGCGGTGCAGGAAATAAAGCTTTGCCGCGTTTCTGGGCAGTGGCAGGCGGGTACTCCTGTGACGCGCACCGTGCCCGGTGTTCACGGGCTCAGAAGCCCGTCCGCAGCCGCGGTTTTTCCTAATCCATCCCCTGGCGGCGCTCAGGGGGCAGGGTGGTGCGTCCCGCGCCGCGCGACTTCTCTGTTGTTAGAGTTGCGGTGGGGGAGGGGAGAGAGGCGTGAGGTTGAGTTTCTCCCCCCCTTTGATCCCATTTTTGAAAATAAGATACTTGGAGAGAAGCCTCTCTTTCCGGCGTTTCTGTGCCTGGAGCGGTTCGCGCCAGGTTGGTTTGCACTCTTTCCGCCTTTGTGATCCGCTCCGTCCTGGTTGGAGTGGAAGGAAACTTGCACAGAGCGAGCAAGGCTCTGACAGCCTGATTGCTACTTAGTGGCTGGATGAGTTTGAGCTGGAAACCCTTTAATGGCAGGTTTTGGTGATTTTCCCCATGACAGTTCTGGGCGTTTTCACACCTGTTGCTCTTCAATGCCTGAAAGGTGTGTGTGTCTGTGTGTGTGTGTGTGTGTGTGTTTTGTTGGGTTTTACTTGATGGCAGTCCTTTGTCTAACAAATTCAATTGCTCCATTCTCCTTCTCGTGTTCTTCTGAAACCCTTTGGATGGGGTCCCTGTCTTCGTTAGCATTCAGCTGGCTACGGTCCTGGGGAACAAGTGGCAGGCAGAATACAATAGGGAAGAATGCTTTCCTGATGACGCGCCTACCATGGGAAGACTAAGCTGAAAAACTGACATTCTCCACTCGTTTTTATGGAAAGCATGCTGTCACTGTTTTATAAAGATTCAGTTCTTGAAATTAGCCAATCTGGAGGTAACCAGCAGGAATTTTAAAGAGAGATTTCCCCCAATTTACCTGCACAACAAACATAAAGACCCTGACACGTGAGCTCCGCAAGGATGCTTAAGTCACCTCTCACCTGACAGCAGATGGTCTGCTGATGAAGGGAGCGGGGTTATGTGGTGTGTGGCGAGGGCCAAAGGGGAGGACCACCTGAGAAAGGGACTGAAGTTTGTTTTCAACTTTCTAATGATGAAGACAATCATCAGGATCCTGGAATGTACTTTAACATCCCGGTAGGTTAAGTTGAATTCCTGTCCACATGCTGAAAAAGGCTTTCAATAGCCCTTCTCACACTTCCAAGTGGAGCCAGTGGAATGCTTGTTTATTTCTGTTGCTGATACATCCATGGGAAATCTCTGCTGAACCCAGCAATTTAAAAAAGCAAGTCCTAGCTTATAATTGCCCACATAATGGCAAACAGGTTATTTCCAGTAACCCAAGAGTCTTGCGTTTTCTCCGACCATGGCTTTAGAGGTAGGTGAAGATATTGACGAGCGTGCGTTTGAGCTTTGCCCTCACTCCAACTGAAATGGAAAGTTATCCTGGGGTGTCTGATGAAAAAGATTATTGCCAGATACGTTACCAGGCTATAAAATAACATGTTTCTGAAAAGATTATAGGCGCTAGACATTAGTGTCTCTAGCCACTGTGTAATTCTTCATTGTTCCTTTAGGGATGAGACCTGCTTTGATGGCCATAGGTTTTTCCTTTGCTGGTTGCTCATTGTGTGGTTTTGCTGGTTGGTTGTTTTTTTTCCCCCTTCGCTCAGGTGAAATCACAGACTGGAATTAGCAGCTATGATCGTTGGCTGGGGCTAAAATTAGAAAAGTCCACGGGACTTTTCAGGCATATCCTTGTTATCTCAAAGAAGATTCTTTGACTCCTTTCAAACTTCCACTTTAGTAGTTCTTGTAAGCTGATGCTTAAGGATTCTTTAAGATAGCATTTAAATTTGGAGAGTTTTTTCCCTTGAGCTTTAATCGTACTTTACCAATGCACACTGAACTTTCTCTGAGGAGTCTAAAGGCACCCCCAATACATTTACCATCCCTTCTAAGGGTATATACTTAACTCTTTGACCTGTTCTTTTAAAAAAAAAAATAAACAAAAGTTCCAAAGGCACTTGCAAAATACAAGACTTGGTCCTCTGATGCGATGGCAGATGGCAGTCACATGAGCTTTGTTTATGCCCGGGACAACCTTGGTGTCTCTTAAATTAATCATGAATTGAATAATTGATTTCTCCCACCTTCAGCGGCACTTAATTTCCAGCTATAAATTTAAAGATAGGTTGCTTATTGAGGTCTAGTTCACTTGGAAATCCTTTCAGAGCCTATCAAATGATTTTACAGCTGGGTCAAATCTCATCATAACACACATTATAAAATGCAGTGACATAAACTTCGAGCTCGTCTGGCTTTCCTATTTCGAGGATGGGCTTCTCTGACCTTCCTACTTGCTGGTCACCTCCAAAGATGGTGAGTCTGATGGATACAATGGGTTTCTGTAAATGTAATTAAACGTGTCTCTGCCAGCTGCCTGTGGCATTCGTGAATGTTTTCATAAGAAAAGCTGTTCTTCGGCTTTATCTGCCCGTTGTGGTTTGTGGCATGTTGTGCTGTTCTGCAGCTATTGCAATTTTTTCCTGAATGACTGAGCTGTGATGTCATGTGCTATCTCAGTGCGGAACCCTTTTGGGGCTTTGCTGGGGTCTGTGTGCCTGTGCGGAGGGAGTGGAAGCTCCCCCTAAGCACTCTTGGTAGCGACTCCCCGTCTACTCCAGCACATTCCATTGCCTGGAGACCAAAGCCACCAAATGATTTGCGGTCAGTGATTTGGGGCTGGTTCGCGATGATTTAAAAGGAAGGTTATGGGCACATGAAGTGTAGGGTAAAGAAAATATATTTTACTACTTTATTGAGACCACATGGCTCCAAGTTGAACTTTTTTTTTTTTTAACATGGAAATTGTTGGCTGAACTGGCTCACAGTATCCCCCCCTCCCTTTTATTTCTTTTTTATTGCTTAGCGAGAACAGCTATATTCTCTATTTATGGTAGGCTTGACCTCACCATTATTTCTGAAATTTGAAACATTTTTTTATGCTTAAGAAAACAGGGAAAAGTAGGATTTCCCTATTGTGCTCTTCAAGGGCCAAAGAACATTGTCAGAGAATAGTCTCAACTCACCAATAACTGAAAGAAGGCTATCCCCCACCAAACTTGGGGAGGCACTGGTTATGAAAGAGATACCTCGTTGTACCAGAGGGTCACAGATTATCAGTATGGCATTATGGATTCATGTCTCTTGATGAATGGAGAGAAGTTTTTCCCACCTCCTGAGGACCATTATACCGTGATTAATAATGAGGCCAGATGAAACATGATTGATATTTTCCACTGCATTAATACTGATGGTGGGGTTCAGAGCCCAGTGGTCTCTTGGGCCCACACTTCATTTGTGAGTCTAAGCTGCCATCTTCTGCCTCTCCTATGTGGACTACCACAAATTAGCACAGTAAACCACCTATTACCACTAAACATCTTCCCAAATCTCTGTCCAGCATGAACTTCAACTACCTATTATCACTTTACTTTGTGGTTCAGGCTCATCCTATTTCAGTCTTCAGTGTACATGCTGTAGACTAATAATTCGTTACAAGCTATCAAGTAGCCATCTCCAGTGTCCAGTTTGGTATTATGAAACTGGTTCGAGAAGCTACAGGGAAAGCTAGCTCACGAATGTACCCCGTCCCTTGGAAGCTATCAGCCTGAGGTCTGAGGGCCAAAACCGTGACGTCATGGAAGGCTGCTTGAGAGATCCCCAACAAGTCCTCAAAGTTGCTGGTCTCTAATCCATCTGAGCCAGTCTGGAGTCCCACAGTGTGAGTCTGTGTATATCCAGGGGTTTAAAGGAAAGCATGTGGAGATCAAATTAGTGTGATGGCTTATGAGAAAGTCTTAAACTATAGAATTGGAAAAATGTCAAGAAGGCAGCATTGTAGGATGGAAATTGAGTTACACTGGAATTGGGGATCCTGGTTTTGCCACAGGGTGACTCTGAATAAGCTACTTAATAGTGCAGCATTGTTGATAAGCGATTACATTTGCCTTGTTTTTTGTAAATATAATGCCATAGTATCCTCAGAACCGCACTAGGAAGCACGTAGAGTACGTAGTATTATTTCCATTTTACAAGTATGGAAACTGAAGCTCTAGAGGTTAATGACTTCCTCAAGGTCGCTCAGCATGTGGCTGGTTGAGTTTGGCCTCAGATCCAGAACTTCTAACTTCAAATCCCATGTTCTTTCCACTGTAGCAAGCAGCCTCCACAGCTCTTCACCTCTATGGACTTCACTCTCCTTATTTGCAAAAATGAGACATTTGGCCCAGAATATATATCAGTCCATTCCAGTTTAAAAGTCTATGTCTGATGAATCACTGGCTGGAAGGGATTTTAAGAAATTACTTAGTCATATTCCATGCTTCTAGCAGGACTCTGTTTTGAAAAGAAAATGTCAGCCCTTTAAAATTTTTTAATAATCCCAGAGCAGGAAAGGGTCCAGGAGAGTGTCTGAGCACATTCTGGGGTGAGAAAGAAAAAAGAAGCTACAATGTCTGTGCTTGGCAGGGAGAGCCATTCTCTAGGCTCAGAAGCAGTGACTCTTGCCTCACTGGAAGTGTCTGGTCCTGGGGTCAATATCTAAAGGAGGAGAAGAGAGTCCCAGGCATGCTTTGCTGGTTGGAAAGGAATTCTGTGAGGAG